CTCTTTTCTTTGAAACTTAACAAAGACATAATCACATCGTAAAATTGTTCTTTAAGTTGAACATACTGTCAAATGTCGCCCAATTCACAAACTATTCTCAAATGAGCATATGCCAAACAACACATTCGTAAAGAAAATAAGCATGAAGGAAGAAATTGGAGGGAAAAAAGGGAAAAAGAAAAACAACCATTTCATCGAGATGAATTCCCACCACCTCCCCACCTCATGTCCATCGAACCCCAATAATTCACACTCTTCACAAAAAAATTGTTACAGTTAAAATATGTGTTTTATCAACACCTCCACCAAGGCTTCAAAGCTTGGATTTTGATCTGGAGGAATCTCTAGAAACCCCATAAATTTCTAAAGCATCATTAGGAGTGTTAATGTTGTACCATCAAATAGAAATGAAAGCTATATGGTACCTTAAATTAAGACATTGAGCGAAAAAATATATATATTCTAGTTCAATACTTCAAGAATTCCAGCTCCATCAGAACTTTTTTATCGAAAGTGGTTCACCTTCGAAGTATTTTTCCTTCTAATAGAAAAAATGGACATACATGGATACTCTTAAATAAATGCAGTATCTTTAAATAATCTTGAAAGTAGAAGGTAAGAAGATCAGGTCATCAAGTTTTATACCTTCTTGAAGATATGGACATCAGCCACTTCATTCCTCCGTTCAAGAAGTTTTGAATGAAAAATTAAGCATTGAAATTTATGGCACACGAAAGCATGTCACCTGCTAGCTTCTCCTTTCTGCTCAACGGGGAGAAAACTGGGTTGATTACTCGTTTACANTGAAATTTATGGCACACGAATGCATGTCAACTGCTAGATTCTCCTTTCTGATCAACGGGGAGAAAACTGGGTTGATTACTCGTTTACACGGATGCCCATTATCACCATACGTGGCCATTCTTTAGAACACATTTTCCCCTAAACTCATTTTTAACCACACATGGAAGGCATTCATGAACAGCTCCCTGTTACTCTATTTTTAACCACTATCCTTGTCTCTTTCCAGAGAGTCCATGGTAATCAAATCTTTGATCCTCTTTTTGATTGCTTTAATATCGGGCTGTGGTGAGAACATTTGCATTTTAATAATATTGTCAATTGATTCAAAAAGCATGTTTGGCTGAGCTTAAAAGTAACTCTTAGGTAATTTTTGTTTCTAAACATGTTAGCATAAGTTAATGTGTTTTAATACAAGTACGAAATTTTACATATTTTACCTTGAGTTGGGGGTTACTTTCGAAATAAGTAAATATCTAACTTCTTTAAGCAAAAAACCAATAAACTTGCCTATCTACTTGCAAGTTGCAAGTAGTTATACTTAAGCTCAGACAAACATGCATGTGAAGTAGGAGGAGAAGACATCTGAAGCGTTACTTAGAACATGCGCCCCAGCTGCTCAGCACACTCCATAACCAACTGCTAATAGCCTAAGACTTTCCTACTCTTCATGATATGTACAATTAAGGCATCAATAGCATATTGGCTGTCCTTGTCAACATCTTCGATTACTTTCTTCTTCTCATCGATATGAGGGAAAGGGATCTGCAAATTTCATCGAAATACTTACAGATAAGAGTTTTACAAGGAAATGATTGATTATACTTGATTGATCTGACTTCTTGTTTAGTTCCACTTCTTTTTCCCCATCAACTTATCTTAACGTCTGTTCGTTCTGATCATTTATGCATGGCTTTGTTATGCATTGGGGGTGGGAGAGGGGCGTACCTTGTTCCTTCTCATTTTATCAGTGAACTTTGAATTGAATTCAAAAACGTCAGTCGGAGATATCATCTTGGTGTTGGGCTCCTAGTTAAGAATCTTATACTTCGCACATGAAAGCGAATGAAGCAACCTAATGAAATCATCATCTGACAGGTTCGATTGAGTCATGATTTCCTGGTAACTCAACCTATCTGAGGCATTGAATAGAAGCATGGCAGCAGCCTATAAACAAGAGAGATAAAAGCTTCAATCAACAATTCAATATTACATCAACCATACAGAATGTGTAAATGAAAATATTAGATTGTCATCAATAACCAGGTAGGTTGTCATGATGAGCTCTGTAGTTTTGGGCTCAAATTTTCCATTGGTGTTGCAAGTGCCCAACGAATATATCCATGTAAGTTTTCGGTGCTTTGTTTTTGTTTGGTAGAACTCTCTAAATACTTTAACACACTTGACCTGATGCAGAAGTCACAAAATAATACAAAATACGTAAGTAACGTAATCCTTTCGCGAAAACAAGATTTTGCATAAACATAAGTGAAACAACACGTATATCTCCAACTGCCTGAATTAATTCTGCATAAGCACAAGTAAAAAACATACCATCTCGGGTGGGAGATTACGATCAAAGGGCTTGTAACTTGGCCAGAAACCAATAGTCAACACACTAACAGTCAAGTCAATCCCAAGATATGTATTCACATTATTGCTGAGTACTCCTCAAAGCTCATTTGATTTTTCCTTTCTAATGTCAAATCTGTCACCTGGAATGGTTGAGAAGAGAGGAAATAATTTCAAATCTTAGTAAGCCTCTTATTCAGCATGCAAAATACAAGAACTTACCATCCCCTCCATTTTTGAAGTAAATTGAC